GCCGTCGCTATCGTAGAATGAGTCCGATGACGGATGTTCCTAAAAGAAATATCACATATGGATACATTTTTTTGTTATTGTATATTTAAAAAATTATATATTAAATTATTAAAAATTTTATTATATATTAAAATTCGAAAAATTTTGTGCATAATTTTTTTCACATATTTTTATTCTTAACTTTTACAATTATAATTTAATAAGCGCAACTATTTGTCAAATTCTCTATTATGACTATCGACTCTATTATTAAGTGGCTAACATTATAAGTGGAAAAATATACAATTAAAAAAATATAGAAAATACCTTATATAAATTGCATTATATAAATAATACATTAAATAATACTCAGTGCGCAATTATAATAATAGAATACAATTTTAATTAGATAATCTTACATTTAAATTAAATCCAGACGTATTTCGTTTTTAAAATCTAAATGCCCGTTATTACAATAATCTCTTTATTGTAGCCTTATACGTCAAGGTTTCTCATCTCATTCCAGCCAATCAATTGTGATGTACCTGACAAATCCTTAGTGTATGGTGGATGGCTTGCACCATGATTTGTCGCACACGAAAAATGCATCATTTAATTAGTTAAGTTGAAATGATTAATTAGTTAAGTGTTGAAAATGATTTTAAAGTAAGTCAAAACGCGTCGGAATTTAATTTAAATGTAAGACTATCTAATTAAAATTGTATTCTATTATTATAATTGTGCACTAAGTACTGCGTTGACTCCTATTTCTCTTTATATTTTTTTTTTGAATAAATAATGAGAAGTCCTATACAATTTTAATTATTGTTAATAAATAATAATATATATAATTATAAATATACCAGCAGATTATCCTGTTATCATCTATCTCTGTTAGAAAAAAATTAGGCAAATTGCACATTATATGCATTTTAAATATTACCGCTGCACCAGATGCATCTGTTCGAACGGAGAGAGAACTGGCCGAACGCGGCATGTCCTGAACACTGAGTGTTTCAGCCTCTTGTAAGAATTCGTCTACGTTCACTATAAAATATGAAGCAGAATCAATAAATACATAATGCATAAAGCGTATTTTTAAAAAACTATCTTATTTTTATTAAAATAAAAAAATATTAACAAACCTCCACCGTGTCGAAGACATTCTATCCTCGCTTCTGCCTTAAGTTTCGCTGTCTGTTAGAATAAGGATATAAATTTTATGTACGTATGTGGGACGCATTATATAAATCGTTATAATTATCATAATTTAATTTTTGGATGTACAGCCTTAATCATAAGTATAAATCTTCAATTTATTGTATTTTCTTTTGAAAAATATTAAAGAAAAATTAATAAAATATTAAAATTATTATAAAAATATATATTATTTTTCAATAAAACTGTTTTTAATTTATTTTTTGTTAGATTTAGAATGTTTAGGGAAGGTAATCCAACAGTGAACCAGTAGTACACTATGAACTATTGCAATATTTCGTAAATGCAACGTTATCAAATTGTGCTACTATCATAGCGCCAAGGACGGCCATGTAATGTCACATTTTAAAAATTTTGGGTTACAAAGTAAGTTTTTTTCGTAAGTTTTACGTATTTTTTATGTTTTTGTTGTTATACTTATAATTTTTTTCATTGTGCAATAGTTTTGTGTGCATATTTGGCACTTTATTATTCTGTAAGCAACTTTTTCTGTTATATTATTTTACCACATTATTTAGGAGATTATCTTGGAAAAAGTTAGGTGGTTTACAATGAATCATTTTGACGTAGTATGAACCATGATATATTGTAAACCACATAACCTTTTTTACGATAATCTTCAAAATAATAATTTATTGTAATAATTATTTAGAATACGGCCCCTCCACCCACCTAAAATCTCAATAAAAGTATATTCATTTGATACGTTTTCACTCAAAGTGAAAGAAAAACGCGATGATCGGCCTTGTGAATCCTCACATTATAATTATCTTATTTTATAAATAAATATAACAAAATATAACAAAATTAAAATAATCCCAACAATTCACAGTATAAAATACGTAGTTCATTATTAAAAATAGCATGGTTCATTGTGTAACACTCCTTGTACACAATGAATCATTTCCCGTTTTTTAAAATAATCGAAATTGTGACTAAACTTCAAGGATAACTCAAGTTATTATTTACAGTATGTAGTCAACTAAATTCATAAACTGTATGCAAAAATTCAAATCTTCAATTCAATATTTGAGAGAAATACTGAGAGAATGTGAGAGAGTTTGAAATTTACATAGTTCATTGTTGGACCACTTACCCTACATCAATTTGTAAGGGTACTTTATACTTATGCCAAGGTTGCATATCTAAATAAATAATTTTTCTTTCTTTTCTTATGAATGGAAGATAAGTTCTGTACCTCCGCTCGTCGAACAGCGTGTTTTAATTCATCAATTTTAGTATCTAAATCTGGACCATTAGGATCGTTCGGATCAGTCTGAAAAAAAAATTAGAAAGCCTTACAACTTATACACATATACATTAACTCTAGAACAGAGATATGAGTCTCCCAAAATAAATCGAAATTTCGCTTCCTTCACAAATGAAGAAAAAAGACGGCGAATTTTATTTTATAAAATTCTTTTATTTTATAAATTTTATTTTATAACTTAACAATATAAAACTTTTTGGCATTACGACATGTGCAGGTATATATTCTCAGTTTTATAATAAAAAAAGAGAATCCAAAAAATACATATTAATCTAAATCGAAGTTACAATCTCTCAAAATTATAGTGGATCTTTCAGGTCCATGGATTTTAGAATTTTTCGGAAGATGTGTTCTAGGGTCAATTATTTTATAATGCTATGATAATAAAATATAGAAATCATCTTATTAAATATAGATGACTTGAAATAAGTATCGTTTTGAAATTTAAAACATTTATTAAAAACATAGAATTTCGATTCTTTAATGGAGTTAGATAACCATAGGAAAATTATTTACATATTTAAATAAATTTATCAGCATTAAGATCTTTTCAAGATGCCTATGAGCGTCAAATTATTATATTACTACTATAGTATTACTACTATATTTTTGTCGATTACGTTTTAAAAGTCCGAAAAATCAATTCGGTGCTCAATTTTCATGATGATATACATATATACAGGGTGGGCCATCTATTGGTACGTTTTTAAAAATGCGATCAAATGAGCATACATTGATATTTTTTATTAATTTTTTTTTTGTTGTGAAGCTAAAAGTATCCGCGTCAAGAATGAAAAACGATTTCGTTCATGTGGCTCCCTCTACTGGCCTTACAGTATGCCATTCGGTCACCCCAATTATTAATGACATTTTGGACTACCTCGGCGCCAATTTCACTCAAAACAGTCGTAATATAATGTCATCCACTAACATCCCTTTCTCACGAACTTTCCTCACCAATTTGCGTATAGCTCCTTCGGTGGGTGCTCTATCACGACCCATATTTCTTTTCAAAATTCGTACAGTTTCGGCGACACAGCACTGACTTTGAAAATAAGTTTTTAAAATTTCAAAACGCTCTTCAAGAGAAAACATGTTGTTTCGTGCCGCGGACGGTATGACTAATAAACTGTCAAAATTTCGGGTCTGTAGCTCGTTCGGTGTTGCCATACGACGAAATTCAAAAACGTACCAATAGATGGCCCACCCTGTAGTATCGAATTATTTAAGACAAGATTTAAGCACTTAAGATCCACTTTCAACTGTTAAAAGCTTTTACTTCCTATTAATTATGTATTCACATGTGCGGTCCAATAAGTTTCTTTCTTCAATCTTAATGGAGTTAGAACGTTGTAATTATGTTAATTGATGATATTTTTTTTCAGGATATCTAAATGACACGAACCTTCTGACCAGCATCTTTAAGTTGGTATAATACTTGAAGTTTCCGATTATTTTCACGAACGCTGCTAACCTCGCGGGCAATTTTCGTCGACCAGCGACGCGCTTCTTTGCCCAATGCCGACGCCGCTGCATGATCGGCAGTTATCCTAGATTCGTCAAAAATATCGTCTAGATAATGCTATTAAAATTTATTTATATGTAAAGAGAAAGTATTTTGCAACGTTAATTTAACATTGATTATTTAATATTTATTTCGTTATCATTTCGATATGATTTAAAATAAAAAATTATTCATGTTAGCGAATTATTTATGTTCAAGATGTCAGAAAAATATACAAGTATATAATGTATTTCGCTCATTTGCTACAATAACTCAAAAAACGAAGTTTTCTAGAAAATAAGTTTGAATGTTTTGAATTATTATAATTTTCTAACATTAATTTTGAAATGCAATTTTGATGTAATAACTAGGATGCATTCGAGGAGACACTATTAACGCTATTTATGTCATTCTATCTTCATTGTTTATTAGATATAAAACAAGGATAGATGACACAAATAGCGCCGATAACGTGCTCCACGAATGCAACTCTGAAAGGAATAAAAATATATACTTTTTTATAAGTAACAAAAAAATGCCAATTTTTTAGTTTTGCTGTAACAAATGAACGATATAAAAATATAAAAATTATATACAAAAATAATATAATATATAGAAAGAGAGCTACAAACCTTTCTACCGGATCGCTATCGCAAGGCTCGAATTCGTATTGAATGTGTTGCTTCAAAACGGGATAGTACAAACAGCAACATTGGATATTGTATTCCCTCGTGAGCTATAATTTGATATTATTACTTGTTCTTTCCTCATTGTAATGAAAAATAAATATTTTTTAAAATGATATCAATATGATAAAGATTAAAAAGATACAAATCTTGGAATCAGGTAAGATAATACAAAAATTAAAATAAATGATAAAATAATATTATTAATCTATTATTCTAATATTAATCTTTAGGTACCTGCTGAGCTTGATCGCGAATCTTTCCGAAGCTGTTTTGAGTGGCTAAACAAGTAAGTAGTTCTGTGCGTCCCATCAGCGTTAAGTATTCAGCTACTTTGTCATAAACTCCTTGCTCCAAATACTAAATAACGCAAAGAAAAGAAAAAAAAACATTACAAGTTTTAAATCTAATATAAAAACCCAGATTTTGTGAGGACGGAACCAATGTAAGACATTGGCGAAACATTTTTTTAATTTAATTTTCCCTTCATTTTTCAGAATTTCTATATAAATTTCGAAATTTTTCAAAAGTCCTGTATAATTTAATGACTTTTTAAAAAATTTCTGATTTTTTTCATATGAATTAAAACATTTTTCAGAAATGTTGAGAAAATCTACATCTTCTCTAGAATTCTTTATATACATATATTCATATTCTGAAAAATTCAAGATTTCTCATTCTACAATTAAAAAAAATATATATAATCTGAAGAAAATTTGTATGTAAAATGTATTTTTCAAAAATCTTCCTAAACTTAAAACATGAATTATTCTTAAAAATATTATATTATGAAATATATGAGAGTTTCTTCCATCAGAGAATTGACATATTAATACATATGGAGTGAGACATTTGAAACTATTGCCTTGACTTAAAAAAAATTCGAATTGCACATTTAATGTAAAATTGAACGCTTAAATATTTTCTGATCTTATATCACCAACACCATTCTAGAGAACTTACCTGCATGGTGGTCTGTAAATCGATTACAAAATATCGGTTCTGATGGGCATTAGCTGCAGCGAGGGCTAATAGATAATCATTGCGAGCACCAGTTGATTTCTCTTCTAAAGCGTCTCGCTTCGAACTCACCTGACAATTGCAAATGGATTAATCAAAACTCAACTTTGTTATCACATTAAATGTATGTAAAATTGATTTTTTTAAATTGATTAAATTAATTTAATTATAGGAAATGTACTACATTTATCTAACTAAATTAAATTATAATTATTAACATAGTAAATATTGCCATAGTAATTTAAATTTTTTTAAAGAATAATAAAGAAAACGAATTCTATTTATTTTATTATTACTATTTTTCTATATTAAGATATTCAAAATATCTGAAACATATTTACTTATAATAATATCATTACATTCATACAAAATATCATGAAAGAATTATAAAATGTAAAAGAATCTTGTACGATGATTTACGTTTCAAAATGTCTGCAATAATTGATTAATTTTTATGATAAGATCATATACCTTGGCGCTATTTTTCTGCAAAGACGTTATCGACTGGAAGAAAGAACCTTTCTTCTTCTTCAGTCTGAAAGCATCGATTGAACATAAATTATTACATTCGCAATTATGTAGCCGGCTTGTATAGTTAGCCAACAATATGTATACGAAAAGAACAAATTATCAAAAAGTTGCAAAAATTGTTGTAACAAAGAAAATATATGTTAGAAAATTCATTGTTAGATATAAATATTTCTTATCAAATATATTAAAATTTATGTTTTATAAGAATTTTATTAAGAATTCTATAAATCTTCGCAAAATTTTTTCGTAAAAATATTTTCATGATTAAGAAAGACAACGATTTAAGCAGATAAGCGAAATTTAATGAATATACTTTTCTTCAATATCTTTTGCTTTGTCGCGCACATCGTGTGCACTGTGTTCCTCGTCAAAGTACAATTTCTTCGTTTTGTCGACATCCTGTACGCATGTTTGGAGCTCCTTTTGTACTATCAGTAATTGGTCGATTGCCTAAAAAACCATTTATTACACAAATTGATGCAATATGTCATGCACGTAGCATTTATGATATATATATATATATATA